ATTTCAACTTGAGGATTAAAATTATTTTAATTCGTAAAGAGAAATTCTGTTACATTGGACTTTGGGTCATCATGTAGATCTAAAACTGCTAAAATTATAAGGATGCAATCAATCTACATTTTACCGTGATACCTACTCCAACACACGCCCTTCGAATGTTGATGGTTATTGATCAAAGGATGAAAATATTTTTAGCTGAGTTTTGAAAAAGTGAACGCACCCCACCTCCTTTCTTATTTTTCAGTGGATATTGTGTAACAGACTTTCTTAGACAACAGATGGCGCGATTTAAACAGATTGGGATTGAAAGTTTCAAAATTGTCGTTTGGTCTCGATCTCTATAGTTCATTTCTATATTTCTATACCCACAGAAAGTCAACTATTTGCTGATATTTAGAGCAACCCAGAAAAACTCATTTATGAGTGGTTGTTTTTTCTCTAAGAGATTTTTAAAACTCATCTATCTATCTATCTATCTATCTATCTATCTATCTATCTATCTATCTATCTATCTATCTATCTATCTATCTATCTATCTATCTATCTATCTATTTATCTATCTATCTATCTATCTATGTTTGTTTGTTAAATGTTTTACAAGTTTCGGATGTTCCTTCAGAGTTGAAGATAGTGTCCTAGTCCAAACCTCCCGCAGGACGACGGAGGATGGAAGCGGGGAGGGTTTGAACCTGGACCATCGATAAATCCAAACGACAGTCAAGCGCGCAAACCGCACTAAATTATCTATCTATCTGTCTGTCTATCTGTCTATCTATCTATCTATTTATCTATCTATCTATCTATCTATCTATCTATCTATCTATCTATCTATCTATCTATCTATCTATCTATCATGTGTCTTTCACAGTGGTTTATCAACCTATTACAAACACTAAAGTCAGAAACGAATTATTTGAATTGTTGCGTTACAATGCCATTCATGATATTCCGACCATAAGTTCTACAGCTTGATACTTTTATGAAGTATGTTTTGTTGAAATGAAATAATCGCTTTTTTTTTACGTTCAATGAGCTTAGCTCAACTTTAGCCTGACTCTCCATTTAATAATTGAACTGACTCTCTCTCTCTCTGTCTCTCTCTCTCTCCGTTGGTATCGCGTTTATTCGCTTGAGTTGGGAGCAATTTAATGAAAAGTTGGCTAAAAGTGTTAATACTTCTCATTCTTTAATTATTATTGTGATTTATCTCAACCTAACCGATCTATCCAATAAAGTATTTTGCCAAAGAAACATTTATGCTATTAAATGTGTGTGGAAAATATAGTGGAAATAACACAAAATGGTGGGACGTTCAGTTTTGTCAGTGTCTGCGCTTTTAGGTCGCCATAACCAAGCTGCTAAAGTAATCCTCCAGCATGAGGCACACATGATCTGATAGGATTAATGAAATATAGGACCTACTCACTACAAATATTTACCTAGGACAGGAGATACTGGTGTCTCTGAGCTATAACATTAACTGGTGTACTGGTCGCCATAACCAAGCTGCTAAAATAATCCTTCAGCATGGAGCACACATGATTTGATAGGATTAATGAAATATAGGACCTACTCACTACAAATATTTACCTAGGACAGGAGATACTGGTGTCTCTGAGCTATAACATTAACTGGTGTACTGGTCGCCATAACCAAGCTGCTAAAATAATCATCCAGCATGGAGCACACATGATTTGATAGGATTAATGAAATATAGGACCTACTCACTACAAATATTTACCTAGGACAGGAGATACTGGTGTCTCTGAGCTATAACATTAACTGGTGTACTGGTCGCCATAACCAAGCTGCTAAAATAATCCTCCAGCATGGAGCACACATGATTTGATAGGATTAATGAAATATAGGACCTACTCACTACAAATATTTACCTAGGACAGGAAATACTGGTGTGTCTGAGCTATAACATTAACTGGTGTACTGGTCGCCATAACCAAGCTGCTAAAGTAATCCTCCAGCATGGGGCACACACGATCAACATTAACTGGTGTACTGTATTAAATGACAAGATATTGGGCCTATATCTCAAACTCCTAGATGACCTCCACTATATAAAGTGAGTAAAAAGTAAAGTAAAGTTCCGCTTTCATACATTGTGGTCTATAGGGCAGATGATGTAAAGGTCATCTGTTTCTGTGGCCAACGGTTAACAAGGGAGTCATGTGGCCAGCACAACAACCAACCACATTTACTTTTCCCTAATTAATTTCAGGTACCCATAAGAGCTGGGTGGACTCAGAGGCGCCCGAAGATCCCGAAATTAAAAATCCCAATCTTCACCAGGATTCGAACCCAGGTCCCCGGTTCGGAAGCCAAGCGCTTTATCGCTTTATATAAGCCAAAAGGGGTGGTGAGTGGTGAGTCTGGTGACATCTGACCTTAAAAGACTGAATATGGATCTCTACAAAAGAAGATTCTTTTTATCTGTTAGAGAGTGGTACTGCTGCAAACCTGCCACATCATAATAATAATAATAATAATCTTTATTGTCCGTATGGAATTTGTCTTACAATTTGTGCATTACACCAAACAAAATACATTATAACTATAAAAAACCAAAGTGTACATTCACACCTGACTCACTCATAATTTACATGTGACAAAGCTTATATCAGATTGTTCTTATTTAATGATTTAATTGCCAGGCGAACAAAGGAGTGTTTGTGTCTGTTTGTCTTTGCTATCGGTGTCTTGTATCTCTTTTGTGATTGTAAAATCACAATATCCTGACACAAAGAGTGATTCTTTATTTCTAGGATTTTGTTACCTTTTTTTTTTTATAGATGTTTGTTTCAAACAGCTGCCCAAATGGGGTTTGTTTTTTTGCCAATGGTTTTCCCAGCAGTATTTAGGATTCTATAAAGTTTATTTTTAATGCTCAGATTTCCATACCAGGCAGTGATATTGAAACTTAAAATATTGCAGATGTGAGCGTGATAAAACATAGCCAAGGCCTTTTCGCTAACATTAAACGAGGACAGTTTTCTTAGAAATCATAATCTTTGCTGCCCTTTTATGCTGATATAATCAGTATTTGTAGTAAAATTTAGTTTATTGTCTAGGATAGTACCAAGGTATTTAAAAGTTTGCACTATTTCAATAGTTTCTCCAGCTACAGAAACAATATCATTTTCCTTCTTTTCCCAACGAAAATGGATTATCATTTCTTTGGGTTTTTTTTTTTACATTTAATAATAAAAAATTTTCGTTGGAAAATGTCATCATCATAAGAATGACTGTGAGCTTCTCAGTCTCAACGTGGCTCCGAATGGAAACAGTCTTTAAATGAGACGTTTAGTCCAATTGGGAATGCGAAACCACGTGACATGCTTAAGGGCCGAGCCCATTGCACTGGTGGGGGATAGAATCGAATCCCAGCAACAGTGTCACTATCCACAAACCGTTCATCAGGGAGCCGTTTTATGGCGGACAGCTGCAAGGCGGATGTGGTGCAGAGAAGGAACATGGAGTAGTTTCCCGGCCCTTCCTCTGACCCAAGCGTCTTGGGGTACGAGCCGTAGGTAATAGGGATACATCTGAATGGATATTTCCCAGACGAAACAGTATTTTTTTCGATATTATTACACGAGCTCCTCATTTGTGTATGCGAAAACGAGGTCCTCAAACTTGGTCATTTGAAAAGTCAATGTCACTGGTGAACCATTTAGCTTGGTCGGATTCTGACTTCCGGGTCCCATGAAACGTAAAGGTTTTGAGGTGTATGTATATGTAGCCTATACAGATGAATCATGTTCCGAATAAGTATTGCTCATCATAAGTATAGGGACCTGTAAAAATAATAATAATAGGCTAAAAACTAGTAATTAGCTATAGCGGACAATCTAAGTTACCTGCCTTTAAAAGGTCTGCAATAAAATTTATAATAATAATAATAGTAATAATAATAATCCTTCTATCCATAAGAATTTTGTCTTACAATGTGTGCTTTACACCAAACAAAACATTATAGGCTAACTATAGAAAACAAAATGTACATTCACACCAGATTGACTCAAAAGTTACACGTGAAATATTTTTAGCAGTGGAATTTTAATTTATGATACGATGGTCCCTCTTGCAAAGAAGTCTGTGTCTGTTTGTAATCGGTGTCTTGTATCTTCATTGCGTCTGTAATCGGTGTCTGTATCTCCATTGTGTCTCTATGTGATCGGTGTCTTGTATCTCCATTGTGTCTCTATGTGATCGGTGTCTTGTATCTCCATTGTGTCTCTATGTCTTGTATCTCCATTGTGTCTCTATGTGATCGATGTCTTGTATTTGTATAACACGAATATAGCATACTCCGTGATATAAAGAAAAGGATGTACCCTGAAACTTGAAAATCTTTCATTATAGTCTTACAGACCGGTGACCTGACAACGAGCTATTAGTCTCTAATGCCCACAAGATGCCACGCTGCTGGTCAGTGTTCAGACCATCTATGACGATTGATGTCTCACTCAGTTGGGCATTAGCAATGTCAGGCTTCAAGCTTGTTCTAGCATCTACATATCTTATGTCTACATTAAGTTTAATACATCATGTAAAGCTTTTAATTTATTTACGGTTTTTTATTCCCCATCTTCTGGCTTATCTATCAACTACTTTAAACATATTACTAAAACCACAAAATATTCCCTATCATTTCCTAGACAACAATTCTCCAAGTATTTGGTCTCTATTAAACACCTCCGCCCAAACATTTGGTTTCTACAAAGAAAGTATTAAGTGTAGGTATTGTTTAAAATGTTGGATCTTCACACGCACACGATTTTATGTTGGTAAATAATAATAATAAACATTATTTTGGTATTTATATAGGTCTGTATTGTAGGTTACTAAAGTGTATTTAACCCTCACCCAAGTTTAAGCACACTTTCCCCAAGTGGCTAACTAGGAGCCCTGAAGTACACATATAGCTCAGGTTGAGAGCTGCTTAGATGTGTCCTGGAAATACTAACAAGAAATAAACAACAACGATTATATTTCTATTCATTTATTACATACAAACATTATCTATGAAGTTAAACAGCTAGCACAGACTTCAGTTTCTAGACACTTTTATTGGTGTCCTACACCCACAACAACAAATATTGACAAATTCAATTAAAAATACATGAATAAACATAATAAACATTCTCTAACATAGAAACAAAACATTCTCTATAAATTCATGATAAACATTTTGTTTGTTTTGTAAGTTCCATTCAGTTATAGGTTCATTTCCTGTTATAAGCACCTGGTTCAAACCTACAGCAGGGTGACAGGGGAGGGAAGCTGGCAGAGTTCAAACTCAAAACCATTGTGACAACAATTTGAAGTGTATTCTGCAATATACTTAGACACAGTACAGTCATCAGTACACTAATTTATAAAAAAAAAGATTAATATTCATAAAATATTTGTGTATGTTTGTCATAAACCTTTTCATGCTCTGACGTAACTTGAGTTTGAATCCCAATGTAGAGTAAGAATTTTTAAATTTAAGATTAGACTTGAGCTGAATTGTGTTTGTGGAATGTCTTTATTGAAAGAAGCAGGGAAAACTACTCTTAGATACCTATTCTACTACATATCCACAAAAGAAATTGGACGAAAGCACTCTGAGCAGGCTATACAATAGCAATAATAATTTTAAAAAAAAATATTCTATTGTAAAAAAAAAATAAAAATGGATCCACAATGAACTGCAATGTTTGTATGTGAGCAGTAAAAAAACATCCATATATTTGTATGAAATAAATACAATGCTAAAATTTTATGTGGCAAGTAAGACATTGGAAATCTTCTTGAAAACGTTGACTGAGGGAGGAGAGATAATTGATACATGCAGTCAGAAAGTTTATTATAGACAGTAACATGTTACACCGAGGTACTAAAGTATAAGCTAAGTGATATCACAAATAGCAGTTAACATAGGATGTTACTGAAGGATGTTACAATAGGATGTTACTAAAGGATGTTACCATAGGATGAAAGTAATTTTGCATTTTTAAAATTCAAATAAAATCATTTAGCTTCAAATAACCAAATACAAAATGAGAACATGCCTAAAAACTAAAACAAACAAACAAACAAGAGAAAAAAAAAACAGTCACAAATGGTGCAAAACATCTGTATACAGCATGTGGGCTGATAGGTAAACACTTTTTCCCAACCAAGGTGTCTTGAATCCCAGTGAGGACCAGAGTTTGAACTTTGGGAAATTTAGGATGCCCCCCCCCCCCCCCCCCCCCCCCCCCCCCACCAACTCCAATGAGTAGCTTACATATTGGAGAAGAAAATACATTTGGTCATGTTCTAGTAGCGGGAAGAGAAACACTCTTTTTTAATGATCACCCCAGGATTAATAAAAGTTAGCCAAAGATCATTCCATTTAGTTGTGACTTACCAAAAGTTAGCTAAAGATCATCCCATTTAGTTGTGACTTAAAAAAATACAACTTCACATGATCTGAAACTTTCTCATTAAATAAACTTCATTGAGTTGGGGTGAACCCAATCTTCACACTTATCATTAGGAGAAAAGTTTCATCAAAGTGTATGATTATGAAAAAAAGTATTATCATAAAGTGCTACACTTTATACATATATAAGTTCTCGTCTATCATGTTGTTCCTATTTACATCAACAGAAATGTGTCTAACATTATATTTCCATATTAATCAATAACAATAATTTGATATTTTGTCTACATTTCATCTACTGACATTTTGTGGTGATGAAAATAATTCTGCCCTTAGAACTTCTGTCTCAGGATTCATTTCCATGACAATATCAGGGGAAACAAACTCATGATGCCTAGTCTTTGACACCAAGTTACCCGCTCCTAGGTGGGCTGTCTGTGTTTCCCACTTTGTCCCTGGGGCACTTGATGGGCGGTGTTTTCTTTCTGTGATGACATACGGAGGTCCACCCAATATGACACTGACATTGGCTCTCTGCTTAGACTTGATCAGAGTCTGGAATTAGTAACACAAAAAAAAAAAAGATTAAATATTAATTTAGACTACAACAATAACAGAGAGTCTAAAAAAAAATATATATCATATATTCTTAACTTTCATATTGGTGCTAAATTATGTTACTGATGAACTGGAATGGTAAGGGTATATTCATTTTATGGTAATACTTAAGTAACTGATAATCTCAACTAGCAGTTATATTCATTCTTATGAAAGGCAATGTAAGGAAACAGCTGTAGTCAATATTTATAACTCAAAAAAGTTATAAATGTGGGGCATGCTGGCTGAATGGCAGAAATTATGAGTCTGGATTAGAGTCTAAGTGAAGACTGAGATTTTGAATTCTGAGATTTTTAGGATGCCCCTGATTCCAACCAACTCAAAATTGTACTGGTACTTGACATTAGTTAGGGAAAGTAAAGGAGGTTGGTCATTGTGCTGGACACCATCAAGAAACAGATCTGCCCTTTAGGTCCTATGGTGTGAAAGGGAAACTTTTTTAGTCTATTATTGTATTATTTTTCTACTACGCTTTTAATTTTTTCTAATCTGAAAATTCTTGTAGATCAGATCTCATATGAAATCCACTTAAAAAACATTGATGTCAGTAGTCACGCATGGGTACAACTAATCAAGACTAAAAAGAGACTAGAAGATGATGTCTGTGTATTTATGTATTGTGTCCAGACAATGACCAACCTCCTCTCCATTCCATTCAAGCTGGGAGGACTAAGGCAAGGCTTCTTAAATTGAATTAAATCTAGTTATACAAAATTGTTGGCTCAGGTACTGTACTTTTCAACAGAGGACCATGTTACTTGTTACTATTGACTTGTATCCTGCATCTAAGGGCAGCACTAAAAAAGAATTGTCTACTTAATTCTGTTGGCAAACTTAATAGCACAAACACCATTGGAACCGACCTCAAGTGAGTGTGGTTGTAGCAAAACTAACCAAGTTTTACCAATACTTATATTACTTTCTAATGTGGGTGTTTAGTTAGTGATCTTACTTTGTAAATTAGCCATGAGTTAACAATGCTTTATAAAGCAACTGGACATCAGCATTTCAATCAGCCAATTAGGCAACTGCACCATATAAATAAAAGATCAAATAGGCATGTTTACCATGGCTAAAATTATGTTAAGTCACTGACCTCCATAACCTCTTTGGCTGACTTGAGTTTTTGTTGTGTTCTTTGTTCTGACTGAGTTTTCTCATTGTACAGGTCCTCACACTTTTGTACAAACATACGTCTGTCAAGAGAAGATCATTTTAAAATTGGATAGTTGTCTCATTGGATAAAGTTCTTCAATGAAGATGAGAGTTACCATGGAGCAAAGACCTATTACAAGAGTTATGCGTGGCTAGCACAACAAACATTAACTTCCAACGACATATGTCAATCATACTCAGCTATTATCATTGGAATTGAAACCCACACCATTAGCCAGACAGACCTTAAAAATTATCCTTTTATTTATAGAAATTTTAAAGATAAATTGTATATGATGAGGATTGCTAACATGCACAAGCAAAGGAATCATGCTTCTTTGTAATTTGGTACAAGGCATGTCTACAGTTTTTAGTAAAGTTATAGAATGAAAGAAATTGTCAAAGAAATGGTTGCTATTTTTTATGTTCATATTTGTTTGTCTAATATGTAGAGATTTCACCATATGATTATTAAAATGGTCTTTTCTTTACTTTGCTGGTTTCACTATATTTTAGTGACTAATCAAATATCAGTTTCTCAATTGTCACATGTTAAAATAAAAAGCAATTAGCCTAAAGCCATAGCATTAATAATTAAGAGTACCTATAGAGTTTAATTAAGTTAAGATGGGATAAAGAACTGATTTACAAGTAAAAAAAAATAAGATAAAATTTTGATCACTGTTGAAATGTTGAATAATACTTAACAGACCTCAAAGTATTTATTTAAGAACAAAAAATAAGAAACCAGAAAGAGGTAATTATGAATTCTAATGGAAAAATTAATCAAAATTGTATGAATAAAAAAAGGTGACCTTAAATAGGAAAACAAAATCTGACTCTTTGTAAAATACAAAAATAGTATTATAGTGTTGATCTTCGTCTTTGACGGAATGTCTGTAATTTACAAGAAAGATTACAAGGTGCCACAGAGAGATATGAATGATTTTAAAATATTTGGCTCAAAGAAAAAGATTTAACAAAATACTCCTAGTCACTGTACTGACAATATACTGAACCATATTAATATCGTACAGAGATAACTGATTGATGTGAAAAAATGAAAGTGTCCACTCACTTGAGTTCAGCATTCTGAGTCATGAGCTCCTCCAGTCTGTGGCGATACTTGTCATCTACCAAAGCAACTTTCTCTTGAAATCTTTCTTCAAATTCATTTAAACGAATTTTCTTTAGGGGGATAAAATTACAAGGTTTGTTTTACTCTAATGCTTAAACAATATTTCTCAAAAACACAGACAGAAAGTTCCTTTTAACACTGATAGAGTAGGTCAAGAAAAATCTCAACTATTTATGAGGCTAACGGTTACAAGAATGTTGTGTGTGGACAGCACGAAAACCAAACACATATACTTTCCCCAAATAACAAAGCTTAGTTCTATGAAAATTGAAAAGATGCAGTTTGTGTTTGCTGTCAATTTCTTACCGCATCAGTCAATAAACTTGCATTTGTGTTCAACTGTTGACATGATGACTCATAGCTGGCCTTGACCTCTGCTAGCTCTGCTCTTGTTTCCTGTGAATGCACAAAATTAAAAAAAATTCACTAATCAAAATTTTTCAAAGATAATGTTTTAAGTTTATTACTAATGAACAAATGTATGCAATTTAATTTATTTAAAAAGAAACCAGTGTCACATCTAGCTCTGCAGTTAAATCTAGCCTTACCTCTAGCTGTGCAGTTGATCATAGACATCTAACTCTGCAGTTATCTCGAGTATTACCTTTAGCTCTGCAAGTTATCTCTAGTGTTACTTCTAGCTTTGAAGTTATCTCTGGTGTTACCTTTAGCTTTGAAGTTATCTCTAGTGTTACGTCTAGCTTTGAAATTATCTCTAGTGTAACCATTAGCTTTGAAGTTGGTTCCCCGACAAAATAGAGCGGACAAAATAGCGTGAACAAAATAGCACCGACAAAATAGCGCAGAAAAATATGCAAGAAATACTTTAGATATTGTAAAATATGAATAAAGCCAATACTTTTATTTTAATGTTATCATTATTTTTCAGTCATTTTGAAGGAAACACTTTAGATATCTTAAAATAAAACCCTAAACATTATGTAAGAATTTCAATAAGCTAAAATGAAAAATTATTAAGCATATTGTTTATTTACATTCCAAAAGTGCACTTCAAAAACACACTAATATATGTCCATACTTGTCAGATTTACATGATTTACACACACATGCACAAACTTTCACAAAGTTAAATTGTATGCAATGTCACGTAGAAAATCCATCAGTGTCTTGTTTCCATATATTGGCAATATACCATCCCTCCACTGAATTATTTGTTCTTTGTAGATTGTCCTGTACTCGTTCAAGGACATAACATTATGCTATCAGAAATCTTGAAGTCACTCTGCAGTTTCGTCTCTGGCAACCAATAGAGTTGTCCTTCCAATAGTCACACTAATTCCCTACAACATCTGGTCAAGCATCATCTAGTTCTTCTAAGTCAGTATTTACAAATAAGAATAGTGATCGCCAGCTTAACTAATCCTTACACACCTAAGTTTACCAATGTTGCAGCAAGATCATTTGGTTTGATGGTTTGATCAAAGAAAGATTTTACTATAACACACATGTATAACACACAATTCATCATATACCTAACCCTTGAACGGGTTCACCACATTTCAAAATTGTTATGCATTTTAAACATTGGTGAAAAAGGAGAATGAGAAAAAATTTTAAAGTACTCTCTGCAAATATGGCATACTTTTAGATAATATCTATTAATATTGTAGAAGATAGAGACCTAAAGGAAAAATGCTGCCAGGGACATTCACTTACTAGAATTCGGTACTTTTATACACATGATATATAAGTCGGCGCTATTTTGTCTTGCATTATTTTGTCTGGAAATTTCGCTCTATTTTGTTGGTGCTATTTTGTCGGGTCACCTTTGAAGTTGAATCTAGTGTTACCTCTAGCTCTGAAATTATATCTAGTGATACCTCTAGCTCTGAATTTATTTAATATCTAGTGATATCTCTAGCTCCACAGTTATTCTTAGACATCTAACT